GCAAAGGAACCATTCAGTGAATTTCATTCGCAAACTTGCTCCCACAGTAAATAAAACATGCGTGCTGTTGTTTTATATGAGGGAAAACTATCGTGCGGTTTACTTCACTTTAGAAAATAGGCATCACGAGCCTACCCTCTCCCCGCACGTAAATTTCCACGTAGAATAACACGGTAACACGGTCAACAAATAAGTCCGAAATATCAACCTTAGTGTCATTCAAACCCGAGTCTATTTCGTCAAACATGACATTTGTAGTGTCGGAATGTTGAGGAACTTTGGGCTTAGTTCTTGTACCAGTCTGCATCTGTTTCTGTCCACTGCATCCAGGTAGACTCCTGTAAACGTTTGCAACGAGGGCGGAAGCAGAGATAGAGTATGATCTGTACAACGGAACAACGTACTATTAAATTGGTATTTACAACCACCGAATAGTACTCACAAACATTTGGTGTGGCTATTACGGACATGTCTAGATCATCGCTAGGATATGAATATAGCACATATTTTGAAGAATAATTTTTAGCCTATAATTTAGGTGACTTGATCCTGCACAAGATCACACGGTAGAATCAATGAAAGTCCTTGGGAATATGGTGTCTAAGACTATCCCCAATATCCCATGGTACGCCTCTATCGCTAGAGCGGTGAAATGTTAGTCCTACGGAAACTGGAGGAGGGCGATTATCTTATCCAGTGAAGTTTCAGATAAGCGCATATCACAATGCAGTCTACGGACATTTTTGTTCGACAGAAATTGCTGATCATTTGCAAAAGCTTGTCATGCTCACTTGAAATTGCTGCATTCCCGTGCTTGTTACAAGTGCTTCGTGTTTTCCAAGCTCACATCCAATAGCTGTAGATATATCTTCATCCGTTCTAAACTGTATGATCACAGTATCCACACATATCCAAAGAGCCACTTTCTGATTGTATAAAGCGGATAATTGTATTTCACAGTTCACTTCAGGTGTGAATCCACGAATTCACAGAAGTGCTTACTTCGTCAAATCAATTATTTTTCACTTTGTCACACGGTCGCCAGTATGATTATTAATGGCGACCACGCAACCACGTTAGCGAACTAAATTCTGTTCGATTTGGTTTCGAAACGAGGAAGTTATTTATGTCCAAATTATATTGATCGGTTGACGTGCACGAACAGACTGCGTCGGACCAGACAATACACCCTAAGAACATTATCTATTGCAATGTATTACACCTAATTATGTAATGGGGGAAGGGGGAGATCAGAACCTTGTTCGTTTGATAGCTACTATCTTATATAAGTAGTACATTTTAACTGAAATGTAAACATATATGCTTACAAAAATCATACAAATGCAAACACAAATACAAATAAGTCACTTATCTTCGTGGTTTCAATCTGCTTTCTTGGTTTTGTTTATTGTAAACGGAAACCGCTAGATGTGTTGTGTGTCTAGATTATTCAGTCAAGCCGTCTCACCACAAGCAACCTCCCAGTCAGATAAACCAAGCTTGGTTCTCATTACGCTGTCAGTGGGAATCCAGTCATCGGTGTTTTCGTGCTCTCTCTAGGGAAGGTACGACGATGGGGAACATTATGGAGAATAACAACTCATTCAAACGATTGAGGTCGAGGCCGATTTTATCACACACTTACATACATCCAACTCAGTCAGTAGAGTCGCTCAGGCGGTCGTAAATTTGCGCAAGTTGCGTGACCCGATGGGTCAATTTGGCTAACGTCAAAATAATGGTACCGACATGCCTTATCCTTAAATTCGCCCCGACCGTCCTAACGAACATCGTGAGTTCGCGTGCGTAGAGCGACCGCTAATCTCACCTGGTGCTTGTGTATTCGTGTGTGTGTGTGTGTGTGTGCGCCCGCGCCTTCAAACGGGCATTTGAGGTCACGCTGACCCACCCCTGTTTGCCCATATAGTCACAACAAAGATGAACCGCAACACACATGTGGTTTGTCTTTAGAGTGTTTCATCACACGTGCTTTCGTGCGCGTGCTTTGCCTGGTCCTATCAGCACAAAGTAGCTTACTCCTGATTGGTCCCACTAGTCCCAACTGGGAAATTCGCACTCTGTCCAATCACAGTCCCCGATAACTCCCGAAAAGCAAAATGGTCCCTTGAGGAAAAGTGAACCATGTTGGTGGACACGCTACACATGTTCTGAAAGAAAACAAAGATAACCTTAGTCAGGATCTGTGGATTGAGTGACACAGAAAGGAAGAGAGCACTGTGCAGAATGTTCAACCGAAGATGATCACACATCGCATTCCGAAATATGGTAGACCCATTCTCCATGACATAAATTGTTCCCGTCACGTTTGCAAGACTATCGTCAGGAAATACTCACAGCTCGGATAGCTTTTCCGTGTCTTTGTGTGTGTTCTGTGTGTGTGAGAGAGAGAGCGTGTTTTCGACTTCTCTCTCCCTCTCATTCTCTGTCGTTTCCAGCCAGTCTCGTTCCTTACTTTGTTTTTATCCTATTCCAATTCCACATGCACCAGAACATGGATTGGCGATATTTCTCAGCACATACGGTCTGGAAAGTGTTATTGATTCTGGGATTTGGGTGTTTTACCACACTGTCACATAGCTTGCATGTGTTCACCTCCTTGGAAACTCGCAAATCCCCGCATCAGAATTGGACTATACATCGAGACGATCCGTCATCTTGGAGAGGCAGTGTGTATCACAATAGTAGTGGACAGAGAACCGATCCCACCGGTTCCAACGAGTTTGCCTTACCCCCGTTGGAGTTGTGGGATGAACCGCAGAGGAATTGGCGACGAACCTATACACCCCGACCGTCCGTGCCCGATCGAACCAGGTACTCACATCAACCGTACGCGGTCACTCCGCGACACACCATCCGGATGACACCAGCACCACGAGTTCCGCCAAACAGACCTGCTTATAACAGTTTCCCTCCTTGGTATGCGGATAAATATCGCCGAATGCCACGTGATGAATCTGACGGTGGTACTAGTGGTACTATTACCATGAGTGGTGTGAGTCGATTACCATGGAATTACCAACCTCGGTGCCGATCTTGCGGTCGACCAATGCTACAAGATTCATTCTGCTCCGATGATTTTGGTAAATGGTGCACCAATTCGGTTTGATTCATGCTATGATGATTGTGCAAAAAAGTGGTCATAAAGGGGGTTGTTTTAGATTATAATTATTTACTTATATGAAAAGGAATGGTCGTTTAACTATTTTAAAGTTTTTATTACTTATTAGAAATACGTACATGAATGCATGGGTCTGCAGGTGCTCCTCAACCCTTATTGTGCTCAATACTAGCAATTTATTGCTTTCTCAACCTTTCAACAGTTTCCCGATGTCCTGAGAGGGTGAATTGATAACTAACCTCAAGGATATAGGTGCTCTTTTGGTCAAAACAATGCGTGGCGATGACAGTCCTTTAACAACTGAATAATCTCCTCATCGATAGGTAGAAAAGGGACCGGTCCAAGCTGTTCTTTCATGGAGTACAATGAGTTGGTAAATTGGGGGTTGAACTGGATGGGATTCGAACACACGACCTCTAGTATGGAGTTAGATTATCGATTCTGTCAGTTCAAGTTGAATGAGAAATGCGAGTATGGAGTATTTATTTGAAATTAACTATTTAAAGAATCAGACGTCGGAAACTACTAATTATGTTCGGTTGATTTTTTCCCTGTCTCTAAGATGGACTGGGTTGTGTGCCCGTAAGACTGAGTGATTCAGTTATGTGAAGGTGAGCGAATATCATTAGGCAGCTATTGCATGTTGGTCAGGACTCACTTTTCATTGGGTATCATTTCTGTTTTCTTGTCGAGGTTCCAACGTTGGCCTCCAAAATCCTACCTCTGAGTAACCTCGGTCGACGAACAACACGTTCAACGAATGGCTAGATTATGTTTAGATTTCGTCTAAGTTAACCCATTCATGTGTTCACAAGCATCGTGTGCTGTTTTTAGTTTTTTCTTTAAAAACGTGCTCATTTCTGTGCGTGAAACTTACCACAAGGCCGTGCGAATACAAGCCAACAGCGATTATAGGTTGTTTGACCCAGTTTAGATACAGTCGGTGGCGGATCGTTTCACATTCGTAAGCATTAGGCTTTAGCTTTGAGTTATGTGTATGTGTGTGTTTGTTTGTACAGAGACATACGTCGTGCCAATAGTTGCAATTAATGATTACTCTGTGTCAACACGAAATACGCACGTGTGTGCGACAGAGAGAAGATTTCCGTGATACAGCCGATGATATTCGGAAGCTAGGGTCGACAAGCGTGAAGAATCATGTCTACTGTGAACTGTACTTCGAAATCAATGCGCGAACACACAAGAGAAGGAGTTACAGCGGAGGCAAATACTGAAGATCTCAACGGATAGCTGGCATAAAGACACAAAAGCGTACTCAGATGCTTGCCTGAATGAGTCCATAAACTGGGAATGCATTCCAGAGCACAAAACAAAGATTGTTCCCAGAAGGAGCTTAAGATGGCATAGGCCACTGATCGATTTTTTTCAGGCAGAGAGAAAAGATCGTCCTGGGAACTATCGATAAAACGCTTCTGTTAGCTGTTTTTTGTGTGTTGAATTAATGCAACGGTAGCATTGGTAGCCCGTTGTCCGTCACTGTCTGGCATACGGATTGTCAGTTCATGTACACCTGGTTGTGTGAATTTAGCCACGTGATGTGAAAAGTTTCACGTATACAGTCGTCTAAATTCCTACTTCATTCTCTTCACAACAGTAAATGTGCATTTCACAGTACGGAGAACGTAATCGATCCTGCGACTACATAGTTGTCCACGAAAAGGTTTAATCGATCCAAACCGGTGCCAACCGGAACTGACATCTCATTTTGCAGATTTATTTTTCTGTTTCTCTATCACAATACGGACATCTCGTACAGTTTCGTAGCAGAGATAGATAGTGAAGAGCTTGAAGCAGGTGCTGGATAAACCGTGATGAACCATTTGAAATTTGGTCAAAGAAGGAAAATCTCATGATTAGTTATGGTCAAATTTGCCGGGAGTTCTGTGCAAATTTCCTTGAGTGGACATAGGTTATATAAAAGCGAAACACAGACAGTCAAAAGAGGCTTTTGACGAATAATGAAACAGACAGGCGAGAGCGAAACAGCGAGATTTGAATCCAAATTCACATGGTAACCGCAGTAGAAACAGGACACTATTTTTATTATCCCAATTTTGCACAATGAATCCGGTGAAAGGGAGGTATAAAACTAGCTATAGGATCTACTTCTCGGTACAGGAAGTTAGATCAGTAAAGTATATGGTCCTCGATCGATCAGTCGTTTAATCTCACACATGCACTACTGAGATAAATATAGTTAGGCTCTCTGTTTAGAGTGCAGTTGTGTGTCCTAATACGCTAAAAAATGGAATTTGACTTTGTGGCATTATTTTTATTTGTACCAACGCAATAGGTTCATACTTCTTCTAGCTATTATTGTGTATTGTGTGTAAGTTTTGCAAGGAATGAAGCTTGCATTTCAGTTAAAAACCCATACACGCTAATCTCCACAAAGTACATATTCAGCAGGGAGAATACTTTTACGAACATGGGGACATTTAATAAGCTAAAGTTCAGACCAAGTTCGCTTAATGCCCTCTCTTTGTTTGTGAGTGAACGTGCAAGATACGGTATAGGTAAATTTCGGCAAGCGTTTATTCGTGATGAAATTTGGCGGAATTGGAAGTGTGTGTGTAGGGATGGGAAGGAAACTGTGTCAGTCCTGTGCGTGCAATGGGTAGTCAAGGTCTATGAGAATCCTCTCCGCAAATTTCACACAGGGCGTTATATGATAAATCGATAGCCTTATGATCAACTCCTTCATAGGAATAGAAGAGACGCGTCCAATAATAGTTAGATCGCGGTGTGGGACTTTGAAATCCTGTTTAAGTAAGCAAAGAAAAATAACTAGGGAACAATAAAGTAAGATGGGAAAAACGCACTGATAAACAAAAGGTGGAAATAACTGACAGGGATGCACAAAATGTTTTGAGCTTTCGAATTTGAAATGATTGGTGATGCAGTTTACTAATGCAGTTGTAGATGTGGGTTGACCAATGAAGATTGCTATCTATGGTTACACCAAGATATTTGACAGAGTTCACCCTGGATAAAGGATTTTTGTTTGTATTAAGAACCGTGACACTCACATTTTCCCATTGCCGATAAAAAAACAACCACTATTGTTTCAGTCAAATGGACAGGTAAGGTCGGATGGGACTAGTGCATGTTTTCTGATCCCCTGGGGCAGCATTGGCCGTTAGATAAACTGCTCCGTGACATTCCTTCTCTTATCGATCTTGATGATCAAGAACAAAATGAGAGAAAACACCGGGACTTGAGACAAGTTGTTTAGAACATGCCAAGATGAATGTTGCTGTTTTACCCTTTACGTACAGTTATGACCAATCTCATCCATCATAGCTCAGAAGAAGAAAGAACAGTCACCTACACCAACACATACACACACACGCAAGTTGATCCTCGAGAGACAAGGCTCCCTTCTGAAGATGCATATCGTGAGCTCACTGTGCCTCTGTGTGGGTGTGCGTGTGTGACAGAAATGTTCGTTCACGGTATGAGATCCATGTATGCATGATTGTGATTGTGTCTTCACAAAGCTTGACAGAATAAGACGGACGTGATTACATACGCAGAAATGGTTGTTTTTGCTAATATAGTGAACGCGTTGTTCAAAAATTTGGGCTTAACTTCACCAACTGGAGACTGTCCATTGTCTGTTGTGTTATTGATCTAATCATGGTACTCAGATTCAGTTAAATATCTTGCCCTTTGGGAATTTTACAAATTAGATCACTGGTGACTATTCACAAGCCTCACCTCATCATTTGTTTTTCACATCAACTTACACATGCGGTTTTCCGAGACACATATTTCGCTTAGTATAAATTTATCTTATGTTATCTGGCAAGTATTTCACCAAAACAGAGGTAGAGGTAGCATCGGATTCTGTATATTTTGTCGGTAATCTACAGTATGTTGTTTGATATCTGTCTCCTACCAGATTTTGGTGCAGATTCGTTCCAAAATATAAAGATAGATACTTGTCAACTTATCAGCTTCAGTTATTGTTTTAAATTGTGAAACGTTCAATACTTTCGGTTGTATCCGCTTAGGCAACCTCTAAGATTGGGTTCGAGTCCTACCGAGGCCACTGAAGTTTGCACAACTCAAAACAAGATATACGAATATCATAAAGAGTAATAATAATAGTACTAAATATTCAATACTAATGTTATATATGCTTGTATGCGGACACAAGTCATACCAAATAAAAATACGGATACAAATAGCCCGACAACAAAGTTGATTAGACCGGGCTGCTTTTGGTGATTAATCAATAGCCGGGTATACCGAAACACCGGTTAAGTGAGACGGATACAGCAAGGATTGCTTTCAATTGACGTCGCAAACGTTATATACCCTCACATGTTAAACATAGACGAATGCAGGGTAGTACAACTAATTAAAACAGTTGAATGTGAAAACGGAATACGTGCTTTATTTATAAATATGCAGATCACGATACAAATGTGCAACACGGGGACTGTTGAGCTAGTGACAGTTGGGTGGTGCGTAAAGAGCGGTAAGTTTACTTCTATGACTAATTCCGTGAAGAAACGCTATAAACAGTTGAAAAATAACAAGCAAGTTCATCGCACAGAGCCTCATGCTTCCACGAGGACCGGGGGGGNGGGGGGGGGGGAGAGGGAGGTGAGCTACGACAAAGTGAAATCCACAGAATCAGGATTCTGTCTATTGTTCAAGTTGTATTCGCCCAATCCTGAGGAGCATTGATGACATCCAAAAATATAGTTTGTCACAAATCATGCCAAATGCTGAAGTTATTTTACTCCACCAAAACCGGGGATGCTGTCGTTGGAGCTGGTATATTCAGCTGTTTTATTTCTCAAACACCAGAAGTTTTTTTAACGTTTTTNGTTTTTCTTCACTGCAAGTCTAACGTCATCAGTAGCTCGCATTCCATGCCACCTCCTCCCCGTCCAGGCCATCGTCAGTGTAACCTTGTAGGCTGCGTTTCGTCCAACCATCTTTTACACGTTAGG